AAAGTATATTTATTGGGGTGACATTGGTTTTATTTCGAATTGCTGGTTTTCATTGTTTTCCATGTGGCTGGTTGCCCCGGCCATTTTGGCTCAGTGGATAGAGTGTCGGCCCTAGAACCGAAGAGTCCTGGGTTTGAGTCTGGCTGAAGGCATGTACCTAGGTTGCCGGAGGGGGAGGCAACTAATCCATGTGTCTCTCTCATATCGATGTCCCTCTGTCTCTCTCCCCTCCTCCTTTCTACTCTCTCTAAAAATCAATGGGGAAAAAAATACATCCTCAGGTGAGGATTAGCAACAACAACAAAAAAAATGTGGCTGGTTGGTTTTTTGCTGAATAAAGCCTTCTGTCTGGCATTTTTCATGTTATATTTCTTGACCCTGCATTTAGTTCCTCCTGCTACCAGGGTTCAAGTACACACACACCCTCCCCTCAGACCCCCATGCCCAAGGAATAAAGGAGTTTTTTAAGCAGGAAACAAAGTATCTGAATAAATTCTAATCATCTATATATATAAAAGCCTAAGCAACAGGTTGACTGTTCGACTGGTAGCTATGGCATGCACTGACCACAAGGGGTCAGACCCTCAACGCACAGGCATGGAAACATGGAACAGACTGATGAATCTCAGAGGGAAGGGGGGAGGGGGAGGGCAGGAAGAGATTAATTCCCTGGTGGGGTCCCTCGGCCTGGCCTGGGGGGATCGGGCCGAAACCAGTTCTCCAACATCCCCCGAGGGGGCCCCGGTTGCGAGAGGGTGCAGGCCATGCTGAGGGACCCCACCGGTGCAGGAATCCGTGCACTGGGCATCTAGTAATAATAACTCCATGCCCGGCCAGCATGGCTCAGTAGCTGAGCATCTACTTATGAACCAGGAGGCTGTGGTTCGATTCCTGGTCAGGGCACAGGCCCGGGTTGTGGGCACGATCCCCAGTGTGGGGCGTGCAGGAAGCAGCCGATCCATGATTCTCTCTCATCATGGATGTTTTTCTCTCTCTCTCTCTCTCTCCCCTTGAACTCTCTGAGATCAATAAAAATATACTTTAAAAAAATGTGCAAGAGCCCAGACCAGACAAGCTCAGCGAACTTATTCATTGGCCCCAGGCATGCCTGCCCTTAGGCGGATGAGACCAAAACAAGGGACAAACCCGGAAATACAACTGGGCCCCCAAGTGCTGAGCCCAGACTCTTCAGACCAAGGTGTTGGCTTCCTGGTTGCTGTGTTTAGAGTTTTCTCTATTTATTTGTTTATTTATTTACTAGAGTCCCAGTGCATGAAATTTGTGCATGGGGGAGGGAGAGGAAGGGTGTCCCTCATCCCGGCCTGCACCCTCTCCAATCCGGGACCCCTCGGGGGATGTCCTACTGCCGGTTTCGGCCCGATCCCTGTGGGCCTAAACTGGAAGTTGCACATCCCTCTCGCAATCTGGGACCACTGGCTCCTAACTGCTTACCTGCCTGCCTGCCTGATCGCCCCTCACCATACTGCCTTCCGGCCTGATTGCCCCTAACTGCTCTCCCCTGCTGGCCTGATTGCCCCTAACTGCCTCTGCCTCCGCCCCCTGCCTACTGTGGCTTTGTCTAATCGACCCAGTCTAATTAGCATATTACCCTTTATTAATATAGATCTGTTTATTTATTTATTTGTTTATTTATTTTAATATATTTGTGTTGATTTCAGAGAGGAAGACAGAGGGAGAGAGAGAGAGAAAAACATCCATGATGAGAGAGAATCATGGACCGGCTGCCTCCTGCACACCCCCTACTGGGGATGGAGCCCACAACCCGGGCCTGTGCCCTTCAGCAGAATTGAACCCGGGACCCTTCTGTTCCCAGGCCGGATGCTCTATCCACTGAGCCACGCCGGCCAGGGCTCCCACACTTTTTAAGCCCAAGGCTCACTGCAGCTCTGACCTGCTGGAGGAGGGCACCCCTCCTTCTGTCTGGGGGAACCCCTCCCCCTTTATCCTCACCTTCTGTTTGCTCATCAGCCCACATGACCAGGCTGGGGTTTTACCCTGAAATTCATCCAAACCACTCTTGCTAAGGCTGCACCTGATCTCCCAACTGCCAAAGAGAAACTGGGGACCCATACCCCGCATGAGGGCTCAGGACAGCATCTAACGTAGCTGCCCTCTGCCTCCTTTTTTTTCTTTTTTTTTTTTAAATTTTGGTTAACCCTCCCCCAAGGATATTTTTCCATTGATTCTTAGAGAGAGTGGAAGGGAGAGGGAGAGACAGAGAGAAACATGGATGTGAGAGAGACACATCGATGGGCTGCCTCCTGCATGTGCCCCAACCAGGGCCCGGGTCGGGGAGGAGCCTGCAACCCAGGTCCATGCCCTGGACCGGAATCGAACCCGGGACCCTTTGGTCCACAGGCCGACGCTCTATCCACTGAGCCACACCGGCCGGGGCTCTGCCTCCTTTTTGGAATTACTTCTCCCTTTAGCCTCCGACGCCTTCCTTGCTGTAATCAACATCTGATGGCCCCTCGAGGAAGAGGGCAGCGGACGACAACCCGCGGGCCAGTGCAGCCTGTGGCCTACGTTGTAAATAAAGTTTTATTGGGACACAGCCGTGCCGTGGGTTCCCAGTCATCTGTGGGCGCTTCGGCACCGCCATGGGGGGGACGGCTGAGTGGGTGAGAGACCCCTGTCCCCCCCACCCCCCGCCCCAGAGCCCTAATACGTGTATATCCGGTCCTTTACAGAAAAGCGCAGTGACCCCCAAATTAAAGCCTTTTTTTAAAGGCAGGTATTTTTTAAAAGGCAGGTGTCACTGAAATGAAAAGATGGACATTTCTGAATGTATAAAGTTTAGAAACCGTTCGTTCTAAAAGCACAAAACGGTATCTAACGTCCAGGGACAGCCCGAGAGCAGCATTGGAAACAGGTGTAACGGAAAACAGGCCAGCTTTTGTGAAACAGTCAACCTTCACGACGGCGAGGAAAACATCCAAAGGGGAAAATGCCTCTCACTGGACAATTAAAATGAAGAAATGAAATAAGTAAATAAGTAAAATGTAGGAATGAGCCACAATGACAATATTTTTACCTTGCTTGGCAATCAAAGGGAGGCAAATAAAAGAAATGATGACCTCATGGTTGACCGAAAAAGTTGGCAAATGTTTAAAAATAAAGATTCTCTTGCCCACCTGGTGGGGCTCAGGGGTTGAGCCTCGACCTGTGAACCAGGAGGTCAGGGTTCGATTCCCGGTCAGGGCACAGGCCCGGGTTGAGGACTCGATCCCCAGTGTGGGGCGTGCAGGAGGCAGCCGGTCAGTGATTCTCTCTCATCACGGATGTTCCTCTCTCTCTCTCCCTCTCGCTTCTTCTCTGAAAACAATAAAGCTACATGAAAAAAATGAAAAATGAAAAAAGTAAAAATAGTCATACTCGGTGTTGGCCAAGGTCTCAAGAAACAGGTACCCTCAGAAGTAGCCACGGGAACAAAACTTTGACAGAGCCTTCAGAAGATCTATGACTTTCAGGAAACTGCTGAACAACTCTTTCCACCCCGAAAGCTTAGGGTTAGGAAAGTGTTAACCTGGTAACATAGATGGTCTACAGCCCATTCAGGTTTGTTTTTGTGTGTGTGTGTTTTAATTATTTAAGGCAAACTTTATTGATTTATTTTAAATTAGAGGCCCAGTGCATGAAATTTATTGGTCCCTCAGCCTGGCCTGCACCCTCTCAAATCCGGGACCTCTCGGGGGATGTCCAACTGCTGGGTTCAGGCCTAAACGGGCAGTCAGACATCCCTCTCACAATCCAGGACCGCTGGTTCCTAACTGCTCGCCTGCTTACCTGCCTGATCACCCCTAACCACTCTGCCTGCTGGCCTGATTGCCCCTAACTGCCCTCCCCTGCCAGCCTGATTGCTCCTAACAGCCGTCCCCTGCCAGCCTGATTGCCCCTAACAGCCCTCCCCTGCCAGCCTGATTGCCCCTAACTGCCCTCCCCTGCCAGCCTGATTGCCCCTAACAGCCGTCCCCTGCCAGCCTGATTGCCCCTAACAGCCCTCCCCTGCCAGCCTGATTGCCCCTAACTGCCCTCCCCTGCCAGCCTGATTGCTCCTAACAGCCGTCCCCTGCCAGCCTGATCACCCCTAACAGCCCTCCCCTGCCAGCCTGATTGCCCCTAACTGCCCTCCCCTGCCAGCCTGATTGCCCCTAACAGCCGTCCCCTGCCAGCCTGATTGCTCCTAACAGCCGTCCCCTGCCAGCCTGATCGCCCCTAACAGCCTTCCCCTGCCAGCCTGATTGCTCCTAACTGCCCTCCCCTGCCAGCCTGATTGCCCCTAACAGCCGTCCCCTGCCAGCCTGATTGCTCCTAACAGCCGTCCCCTGCCAGCCTGATCACCCCTAACAGCCCTCCCCTGCCAGCCTGATTCCCCTAAAAGCCCTCTCCTGCCAGCCTGATCGCCCCTAACTGTCTCTGCCTCGGCCCCTTCCACCGTGGCTTTGTCCGGAAGGACATCTGGAAGATGTCCGGTCTAATTAGCATATTACCCTTTTATTAGCATAGACAAGGCATGTGAAAATGTGGGCCCAGAATTAAACAAACTTTCCAAGTAACTTCTGGTTGCTGTATAATGGGAGAGTAGAAACATAAAATTGTATACTATCGCTGCATAAAATGGAAAACACATATTTCCCAAGTTTCAGCAAAATGAACTCCTCTTAGACAATATCATTAAGTCGCCGGCAAGTTACTGGGTGGCACCCAGCTCCTACCAAAAGCTTCTCGTCGTGAATTTTAGAATACCCCACTTTTATAAAGCCACCGTTCTGTCCTTGGACAAATACTGACATTCCAGGGCATTTCGGTTGCTCTCATTTTAAGAAGTCAAACTAACAAAACGAATGCATTTCTCAAGGTTAATCGAATCCAAGCGCAGGGGCCTGGGGACAGCACAGCGTTGAATGAAACCAAATCTATCTGGGGAAAGGCAGGCGCATTTCGCGTTCGGGTACCGTCGCACTGGGGGTGACACCTACTTTTCTCAGGAGACACGTGTGACTTGGCCTGTCCCCGCACCAGCCTGCAGGTGGAGCCGTTGCCCGCGCACACCCCGCAGTTGTCCTCCTTGGCGTGACTCCCCAGCTGCCGGTCACAGCCCACCGCCTGCGACAGAGCAGGTGTCAGAGAACGCGGGAGGCGGGAGGCGATTGCTTTCGTATTAATGGGGTTATACTTCCTTTTTTTAAATTATTTTTTTTATTAATCTCAGAGAGGAAGGGAGAGGGAGAGAGAGAGAGAGAGAGAAACATCAATGAGGAGAGAGAATCACGGATCGGCTGCCTCCTGCACGCCCCCACACTGGGGATGGGGCCCGAAACCCAGGCATATGCCCTGACCGGGAATCAAAGGGTGACCTCCTGGTTCATAAGTTGACACTCAACCACTGGGCCACCCTGGCCGGGCAGGGGATATTTTGAGATTCCTACAGGGCAGTCAGGGCGAAGCGTTACACTTGCTCTGGCATTTCCCGAAGGTGAGAGGGACGGGTTTAAGCCTCACTGAATGCCCTCTGACAACGTCCGGCAGGTCAGAGGCGTCCAGCAGGAATACTCAGCCATGGGCCAGGAGGCCTCTGGGAGGGCACCTCCGAGAAGAGATCCAATTATTTGATGGGCAGCTGAATCCAATGACTTTTAGGATCCTTCCATCCTGATGATATCTATACTAATAAAAGGGTAATATGCTAATTAGACCAGGAGTCCTTCCAGATGTCCTTCTGGACAAAGCCATGGTGGCGGGGCTGAGGCAGAGGCGGTTAGGGGCGATCAGGCTGGCAGGGGAGGGCAATTGGGGGCGATCAGTCCGGCAAGGGAGAGTGGTTGGGGGCGATCAAGCTGGCAGGGGAGGGCAATTGGGGGCAATCAGTCCGGCAAGGGAGAGTGGTTGGGGGCGATCAAGCTGGCAGGGGAGGGCAATTGGGGGCAATCAGACTGGCAAGGGGGGGGCAGTTAGGGGTGTTCAGGCTGGCAGGCAGATGGTTAGGGGCAATCAGGCAGGCAGGCAGGTGAGTGGTTAGGAGCCAGTGGTCCCAGATTGCGAGAGGGATGTCTGACTGCCGGTTTAGGCCCACAGGGATCGGGCCTAAACCAGCATTCGAACATCCCCTAAGGGGTCCCAGATTGGAGAGCGTGCAGGCCGGGCTGAGGGACCGCCCTCCCCTGTGCACAAATTTCGTGCACCAGGCCTCTAGTGGTTTTATAAAGAGAGCAGTAAAATAGTAGTAGCAATACTTGATTTTTATTGAATGCTTGCCATGTGCCAGGCATTGAGCCAAGCACATTATAAAGACACTAGGGGCCCTGCACACGAATTCATGCACCAGTGGGGTTCCTTGGCCTGACCTGAGGGATTGGGCCAAAACCAGCTCTCTGACATCCCCCAAGGGGTCCCGGATTGTGAGAGGGTGCAGGCAGGGCCGAGGGACCCCACTGGTGCACGATCGGGGCTGGGGAGGGACAGGGGATGTTGGCCAGCCGGGGCAGGGAGGGACTGCAGAAGGGCTCCAGGGCATGTCTGGCCCATCTTTCTCAGTCCTGATCTGCCAGACCCCTGGTGGTCAGTGCACATCATAGCAAGCGGTTGAGCAGCCTTCCTATATCATTAGCATATTACGCTTTGATTGGTTGAATGGACGACTGGACACTTAGCATATTAACCTTTTATTATACAGGATTATTTCATTTAATCTTTCCATCAACCTTATAATATACTTGGTAACTTTTATCTCTGTTTTTTTGTTTTAATATGTTTTTATTGATTTCAGAGAGGAAGGGAGAGGGAGAGAGAGAGAAACATCCATGATGAGAGAGAATCATGGATCGGCTGCCTCCTGCACGCCCCACACTGGGGATCGAGCCCCCAACCCGGGCCTGTGCCCTGACCAGGAATCGAACCCTGACCTCCTGGTTCATAGGTCGATGCTCCACCACTGAGCCACACCAGCCAGGCCCTTTTATCTCTGTTTTTACAAATAAGGCATCTGAATGTTCCTGAGGCTAAACAACTTTCCGACATTACACAGCTAGTGTATCATGTCAGTAATGGTTTTATTTATTTTTATTTATTTAATTAATTTATTTATTTTTTCTTTTCAATTTACAGGCAAACCTTGTTTTATTTCAGTCAAGGTTTTAGAAAAAATCCAGGTCATCTGACGCCAACATCTTAACACCAGGCTACACCTTCCTCCCCTTTCGTATCAGCGGATGGATGATGAAGTACCCAGTGACAGCCCTGGCTGGTGTGGCCCAGTGGATAGAGCGTCGGCCTGCAGACCAACGGGTCCCAGGTTCGATTATGGTCAAGGGCACGTCCCTTGGTTGCAGGCTGTCAGGGCGCGTGCAGGAGGCAAACCATCGATGTGTGTCTCTCACATCGACGTTTCTCTCTGTCTCTCCCCCTCCCTTCCACTCTCCCTAAAAATCAGTGGGAAAATATCCTCGGGTGAGGATTAACAACAACAACAAAAAAGACCCACAAAAAACCAAAGCCAGTTACCGGGGCCGCCATCGTAATATTTACAGGCACATGTGGAACGACTTACGAGGGATTGATTTTGGGAACGCACTTGCAAGTTTGGGATTCAGTCAATGAGTCACTGACATCCATGCAACCCTCTCCGAGGGGAGTAATATTCCACGATTAAATGACAGGCGCGCAGGTCCTGGGCCAAGAGCTGTCCTCACAGGGGTGGGGCTGGGCGGGGGGGGGGGGGGGGAGAGTCCCTGAGCACTTGAGTGAGCATCGCCCTCTCTCAGGCCGGCCCGAAGGGCGTGGTGTAAGAGCTCAGATGGGCTTTTCTGGAAGAGTGTTAGGGCCTTGCAAGACCTAGGGCAGTGACGGCGAACCTTTTGAGCTCAGCGTGCCAGCATTTTGAAAAACCCTAACTTAACTCTGGTGCCATGTCACATATAGAAATTTTTTTATATTTGCAACCATCGTCAAACAAAGATTTTTATTTTTGATATTTATTTTACATATTTAAATGCCATTTAACAAAGAAAAATTGACCAAAAAAATGAGTTCATAGGTTCGCCATCCCTGACCTAGGGCAATAGGACGCCTCCCTGAGCTCCTCTGTTTGATTCCTAACTTTTAAAAATATATTTTTTTATTGATCTCAGAGAGAAAGGGAGGGAGAGAGAGATAGAAGCCAATGATAAGAGAGATCATGGATTGACAGCCTCCTGCACGTCCCCCACTGGGTTCAAGCCAGAAACCCCGGCGTGTGCCCTGACCGGGAATCGAACCCTGACCTCCCGGTTCATAGGTCAATGCTCAACCCCTGAGCCACGCCGGCCGGGCATGACTACTGTTTTGTTTTGTGTTTTAAATACATTTTATTGATTTTTTACAGAGAGGGACAGAGAGTCGGAAACATCGATCAGCTGCCTCCTGCACGCCCCCCACTGGGGATGTGCCCGCAACCCAGGCCTGTGCCCTTGACCAGGATCGAACCCAGGACCCTTGAGTCCACAGGCCGACGTTCTATCCACTGAGCCACACCGGTTAGGGCGTGACTGCTGTTTTTGATACGACCGTAATAGGGAAGATGGAATACTAGCCACTCAGTATTTTAATTTTTTTCTACCCAGAAGTCAAAGGAATGGAGGTGGAATCCCACCTTGTCAAAGCCGCCTCTAAAGTACCCCCTCAACGTGTGCCAGGGCCCTGAGTCCCACCCCCTCACAGCCCCGTGGCGTTGGTTCTGACTCAGCCCCACCCATCAGCGCAGCCTTCGCTGGTGTGGCTCAGTGGATAGAGCATCGGCCTGCAGACTGAAGGGTCCCAGGTTCAATTCCGGCCAAGGGCACATGCCTGGGTTGTGGCCCGATTCCCTCCCACCCCCAGGTTCTCTCTCATCATTGATGTTTCCATCTCTCTATCTCTCTCCCTTCCTCTCTGAAATCAATGAAAAAATACATATATTAAGAAAAAAAAGAATACGGTTCCTTAAATGTTAAGAAGAAAAAAAATAATGCATTCATGCTAACTTTTCAGCAAATAAGTCACTGCCCCTAAAGACGCCAAACAATGAATTCATGAATTCGTGTCAGCAAAACAATGAATGAAAAAGCTCAGAGAACCAAGCAATGCTAACCTTTCAAAGCAGTGGTTCTCAGAGTGGGGTCCCGGGGCCTCGTTAAATATGCAAATTCTCAGCCCGGCCGGCCTGGCTCCGTGGCTGAGCATCGACCTATGAACCAGGAGGTCCCGGGTTCGATTCCCGGTCAGGGCACAGGCCAGGGTTGCGGCTCCATCCCCAGTGGGGGGCGTGCAGGAGGCAGCCGATCCATGATTCTCTCTCATCATGGATGTGTCTCTCCCTCACTTTCCCTTCCTCTCTGAAAGCAATAAAAACATATTTTAAAAATAAAATAGCCCTGGCTGATTTGGCTCAGTGGATAGAGCATCCAGCTTTGGACTAAAGGGTCCTGGGTATTCGATTCTGGCCAAGAGCACAGGCCAGGGTTGCGGCTCCATCCCCAGTGGGGGGCGGGCAGGAGGCAGCCGATCCATGGTACTCTCTCAGCATGATGTTTCTACCTCACTCTCCCTCTCTCCCTTCCTCTCTGGAATCAATAACATAAAAATGTATAAAATAAGTAAACAAAATAAAAATTTAAAAATAAAATAAATGGAAAACATAAAAATGTTTATATTTTATATAAATATAAAGAATATAAATATATATAATATATATTTAAAAATTTAAACAACAACCACAACTACAAAAAACAACCCCGAATCCACAGCTGTGGAGCTGGATCCTTGAGGGAGGGCAAAAAAAAAAGTGCCACGTGCAGGTGTGCAGTTTGCACTAACTGTAGCATCGGTTGTGCTGACAATAAAACCCACACGGCCGTCTCCAAAGATAAATAAATCAATGAATAAATAAATAAATTTTGACACGACTATATTAATTTTTAAATAAATAGCCATGACGTGTACACCAAGTTTTACTGCCTTCACGTAA